GAAATTCACAGGTCTGACATTTTATCTAATTTTTAAAAACTCCAAACACTTTAAATTAAATGAAACAATTCTAAGGATGTTCTTGAAAATCTATAGTGATACAATGCCATTGGGGTTGTTATTATTTTTACTATAATGGTTGTTATCATTTAACAGCTCAGTTGTTGTACTGCTTAAAAACCACAGCAATACATAAAGTGTTTTACAAACTCTGTCATAGGAAGTACTGTTTACCCTAATTGTATCTATTAAAAAATTTAAATTACAAGACGGACTTAAAATCGGTAACAGATCTTTTTTGCTCCTAGCGTTTTTAGAATGAAACCTTCTCTCCAGATAAGAGTTATGGAAAATTCTTATAAAAATTACAGCTACATCTCTTCATAAGCACCTGACATTCTAGGGAAATTGTCAGTGGTCATGGGGCATCCAGGATGACAGGAATGGGAAGAATGGGGCAGCTGGGCTCTGCATTTAGAGGAGGAAGCCAAGGGTCTAAAGACTTTTCTGTCTGTATTTTTCTAAATGAACATATCTAGCTTGAGAGCAGTTATATTTTTGCGAGCCAGGATGCAGAGCTGCTTTGCAGAATTCATTAAGCCTCCTCTGCATGTTAAAGTACTCAGGTCCTAGAGCAGATATTTTCTCATGTTGCAGCTAAAGTTACTTATAGAATGAAGGAAGGTTTATATCTGTCAAAACAGTAAAATCTCTTTAGTCCATTGAGATAATTTTGTATAAAGACCATCTGCTATGTGTATGTCTCTCCACAGCAGGGTAAGTCCGGTTTGAGAGCGGCCTGAGACTGCTTTCCCCATGCAAAGGTGCATTGTCTTTTTGAGGATCTTCATGGTTTCACATGACGAAGGTGTTTGCTCCTGTACTCTCAGCTGGCAGATTGTCATAGTTACAACGCTAACAGCAAAGACCACACTTCTGTTCTCATGTGAGTTGCAGGTGCTTTCTGTGTCTTGTTATTGGAAGTAGGTCTTGGTTTAAGATTATAATTTTTCTTATGCCGGAAATACCAATTATCTCATCTCTAATTGGGAGTCGTGAAGGACTGGTGAAGTTGAAATAGAAATACTTTAGCTAAGACATTTACATCAGGCTTTGGGTAGAGTGAAAAATAGATCAGTTAGAGCATTAAGGACCAAAATATTGCTATAATAGCAATCATGACTGTGTGCCTTTTTTTTAGGTTCCTGAAGTTCCCATTTGTTTTTCCGAGGAGTTTCAGATCAAGTAATTCTATAGAGTTTTTGTGCAGTAGAATAAGCAGAGGAATAAGCAAACCATTCGTTTCTTCTTCCCATGAATCATTCTATCAGCTTTAACAGACCATTTCGAAACACTAAAAAGTCAGGAATGCAATTTCTGCATTGGGTTAGAATCATGATTATAAAATGAATTGTGATTAATTTTTGGTTTGGCTGGTTGAGTCTCAGAAATCATTCATTTAGTTTTGCTTCAGGCTATCTTAAGAAACAAAATTAAGTTGAAAGTTGAAATTCTTGCAGTCATTTAACTAGGATCTGAGGCTTTAGGAAAACTATTAAATATCCAGACATTTATGAGACCTGGTAATAATTGCTTCCCTGAAACTATGCGCATGAGGAAAAGTTGGCAGACTAGATTGCTAAAGGCAGAGCACCAGTATTAACAGGTCTCTGCCACTAGGAAAATTTAGTTGGAACCTCAACCTTCTTTTCTACCTTAAATTACAAAATAGCCCCCAAAGTGGGCTCTTTGCGTCACTCTGATATTTGATAACATTTTTCAGAGTGGTACCATGGTTAAATTCACCCTGTAGTTCATGGGGTAATGCTTGTTGACTTCTGTGCAGCAGAGCATATGAATCCATTGACACAACCAACATGGATCCCAGATACCCCTAAGAAGGGATCAGTACATCTAACCAAAGTCTGGTTTCTATGAGGGAATCCTTATTTCTGGCCAAAACAATGGCAAGCATAAAAGCTTAGTGTTTAGGAAATGCTTTGTATTTTATTATATTTAAATAACTAAAAATCATGAATTCAAGATGGTGGGTGGCCTAACACAACATTAACAAGAGCCTGTTAAAATTATACCAACAGTCAGTAGTTCACTTTTCTAAACATGTAAGTAAGAAGTTTCATATGTTAGTTTTATATTCCACGGCCTGGATTTTCGAGTGAGGTTACAAAGTTATTTGGCAGTAGCGAATCAACTGCAGGATATATATGCAATTTTGATTACTTGTTCAGGAGAACATGAAGAAGAGCTCAGTGAAAGCTGACAAAGTTTATTTTGTCAGATAAGACAAAGGTCATTAAACAAAAGGAAGACAATAGGGAAGCAGTGAAAAATCTGAGGGGATCGTGGATAAAACTATGTGTGGAAATGTCTAGTCAAGGTTTTCTTTGCTGTAGTCTGGTTCTCTGGCACAGACTTTCATTACTGGCTCAGTTGCATCAGGTGTGCTTTTGGAGCGCGTCTTAAGGTTTCAGCTGAAATCCATGGAGACCATTTCACAAGGTCTGTGTGAACCTAAGAGTGCTAAACAGAGTCTATCACGAGATTTACTTAAAAAGTGCAATTCTGATTTGAACTAAAATGCAGATGTAGACACACCATCTGCATCTGCATTATGGACAGTACTGCTATTATAACAAATAAATACTTGCTTTTTGGAAAAAAATCTTTCCAAAGGGACTCTTTCAAACCCTGAAGTTTTTTATCTGGCCGTCTACCCTTGTCTTCATGTGACTCCTATCATAAGCTCTTTCCTCTTCCCTAGACCTTAATTTTCAGTGCTTAAACATCTGGCTATATAATTTTTCTGAAAATAATCCCCTTCCTCATCTCTGCTCCTAAAAGAACCATCTGGTCACATATATATGTAGACAGTGTTTTGTGTTTTTCACTTCAGATATCCTCTAGGTGAACATTTTGGGCTGTTTTCACTCTTTGTCATAAAACAGAGAGTATACAGTGCCTTCCTCTGGATGACAAATGACTTATTGCTGTCATTTCTTCTCTTGTTGGTCTGTACAGTCTCAATATGGCTTTTATTGTTAGTGATCAATCTGCTCTTAAACGGAAACTGGCATTTCCAGTAGTGTATCCTACTTGGGATGAGATTTTGTATCCTTTATGTTTCTGATCATTTTATATGTCTATAACCTCCTCTAGAAAGGGATGGTTCATTCTTTCTGTTTTGTTTTCTGCTGGGATATCTAGTTTCTAGCCCTTTGCTTTGAAGTCACCCATTGGCACCACTGTTTCACCCACTGACTGTTCTTCAAACCCACTGATACACCTCTGGAAACTATACTTATGATACTAATCTTCCACATCTGCAGTCAGGTTCTTGTAATTTGTTCCTGTTCCTTACTGGGTTCATGCCAAACATCTGGCCATAACAAGAAGTGTCAATGCCTGTGAGATGATTTTGGTACATTGATCTGGTGGGTGCTCAGTTCTTTACTCCTATTTATTGTGGGCAGAACAGAAACTGTTGACTAATACTTTGCATGCTTTCTCCTTCTGATTAGGCTCAGAATGAACAAAAAGAGAAAAGGAAAAGCAAGGGAAAAGAAGTGATATCTCCAAAGTTTCTGGGCTCCTAGGAACTCCTGCAGAAATGTCTCTCAGCTCCCAAGTACGCAATGACTTTCAAGTACAACATAGAATCATAGAATCATGGAACACTTTGGGTTAGAAGGGACCTGTAGAAGTCATCTAGTCCAACCCATCTGCAGTGAGCAGGGACATCTTTAACTGGATCAGGTTGCTCAGAGCCCCGTCCAACCTGGCCTCAAATGTTTCCAGGGATGGGGCCTCCACTACCTCTCTAGGCAACCTCTTCCAGTGTTTCACCACCCTCATTGTAAAGAATTTCTTCCTTATATCCAGTCTAAACCAGTCTACCCTCCTTTAGTTTAAAACCATTACCCCTTGTCCTGTCACAGCTGGCCCTACTAAAAAGATTTTCCTCA